GGCGGGGGAGGCCCTCGGGCGTCAGCAGTCTACCGGTCCTGGTCCGGAATGCTCGGCACAGTCGGAGGACGTGCCCAGTTCATCCGCCTGCTCGGTGATGGCGGCCTTGGTTGCTCTCCGTGCCGGCTCGGTCGAAACGTTCAAGTCCGCCGGGATCCGAACTTCAATGCTTGCAGAGTGGACAGAGAGGACGGACACGCAGAGCTGGTCAGGAGCGGGGGTGGCGAGTCCTCATCCCAAAATAGACAGCGGTGTGGTGAGGGATGGGGCTTCGCCGCCTGCGGGGGATCGCCAACCGCTTCGGTCGGAGCGAGAGGGTGCGTGTGGAGGGCCCGGTGAAAGGGAGACGACGAAGATTGCCGGGATCCGAACTTCTCCAGGCAAGGAGTGCGGAGGGCCCGGCGACAGGGAGATGGCAAAGTTCGCCGGGATCCGAACTTCTTCAGGCAAGGCGTGTGGAGGGCCCAGCGACAGGGAGTCGACGAAGTTCGCCGGGATCCGAACATCTTCAGGCAAGGGGGGCCAACCAGGGATATTGGTGCAGGCGGGAGGGGCTGCGTGCGGCGGGCGGGAAGCGCATTCATCGGGAATCGACACGGGTTCGGGCGAAGTGGCTGCATTGCATGCAGGGGAAGAAGGCACGGTGATGGACAAAGAGAAGGAAGTGGAGGAAGGAGACAGAGGGGAGGAATTGGAGGAAGGAAGGGATGAAGGGGAGGAAGAAGAGGATGAAGGAGAGGAAGGGGAAGAAACGGAGTTGGCTGGTTTGCTAGGAGGGCAGGAGGGGGGAAAAGGTGAACTCAATACAGGAGACGACGAACGGACTTTCGGCAACGACGATGACAGATCTGGGGAGTCTTCTGACAGATTCGGGTAGCTGTACAGAGAACACCGTGAGGAAGACGAGGACGACGATGACACAGCACTGTGTATGGAGACACAGGTGGTCACAAGCCTTTCGGCAGAACGTGATGACTATGACGTCCAAGCAATGACGTCTGCCGTCGATCTCCAACACCGGTTCAACGAAGCTCGTGTAGCAGTCAGCCTGACTAAACCGAGTGTGCGTATTGACATCGAAGAAGTTATCGACGACATCCTGGGCGACCACCAAATGTCCGCGCAGCTGTCCTCGACGCCTGGTGTCGACGACCCTCTCGACGTCAAACCTTCCGGGGGATCTGTCGTCGATTTTTCGCCGACGAGCTCTCTGATGCTGCCGCCAACCATCGCCAGCGGAGGATAACGCGGGATCGGGGGACGACAAGATGTCACGTCCCCGAAAAAAACTGCCGCCGGCACTCGAGCTCTCGACGTGCTGGCCTTGTCCGCGCCAACTTCGCCGATTAAGGAGCGGAGAGACAAACCAGCTGGTAAGCAGTGACAAACGCCACTTTGTCTGCGCGCCAGTGACCTCAGTGTCTGTCAATGCGTACGAGACAAAAACATGTGTGTTTTTGTTGAAGCGTTCCCTCACATAATGGAAGGATGGTGTTTCTTTTTCGGAATGAGTGGTGGTTTTAGTCCGCCGGGATCCGCACTGCCAAGGCCGCTAGGTAACGCGGTTATTCTTCTAGTGCCTCGATAAGGAAAAGTCCGCCGGGATCCTGACTTCACGAATGTTTGGCCTCCGGGTTTGTGGCTTGTTGAGGTTTTCCCTTCTGAAGGGCGGGGGTATCGAGGTCGAACGCACTGCTCTTTTTGTTTTCCAGCGGGGCCTGCGCGGAAGTATTCTCTATCTCTCTCATGGCTAAACGGGGCTCTGTAAATAGATAGGTTCTGCGTCTTCTACATTTCGTGGTTCTTGAGTTGTCGTTTTCGTCGGGTTCGTCTTGGATTACGTGAGTTCATTTTCCGTTTTCTCTTCCTTCGGTTGCACAGGGGTTGGGTCATCTCCCTGGGTTGGAAAAGTCCGCCGGGATCCGGACTTCAGAGATGTTTGCCTTCCGCTTCTGTGACTTGATGTGCTTTTCCCTTCTGAAGAGCGGGGGTGTCGAGCTCGAGTGCACTGCTCGTTTTGTTTTGCAACGTGGCTCGTGCGGAAGTTCTCTCTCTCGCACTCTCATGGCATGACGGGGTTCTGTAATTGCATGGGTCCTGCGTCCTTTAGATTTCGTGGTCCTTTAATTGTCGTTTCGTCGAGTTCTTCTTCGGAAACGTGTATTCACTTTCCGTTTTGTCTTTCTTCTGTTGTACAGGGGTAGGGTCGTCTCGAACACGCAGACCCTCTAAATATCCGGAACACATACTGCATACAGTCCCGGGGTTGACGACAAAACACAAGGACATGTTAAAGGCGTCAGGGGTTGATGTCGAAATCGGGAAGAAGGAGCATGCCATTGCCATTGAGGAGTGTCTTTCCCTTCTGCCCCCAGAGAAAGGGACATATCCACGATCTGTGACTAGGGGTCAAGCCATGTATGAGAAATACTTAGCTTCTCATCGTGCGATGAAGGAGAATCCTTAGTGTTCCGTTTCTCACTTCCCCCCCTGTCCTTCGCTCGATGTTATGCAGTGCGGGCCACGGCACCTGGAACAGCAGTGACTGCGATCGGAAGCTTGCGGGTTTTGGACGACATTGAACGAGGCTTGGTGCCACCTGACACTATACTCTCGACCCTCCACGATGGTCAGTTGCGAATTGCAGCGAAGGATATTCTCACCCTCTCACTTACCGACGGCAGGGTGAATGATGAGGTGGTCAACTTCTACATGGCGTTATTAGGAACGACCGCATATGGGACAAGTGACATCCCGCCAGGCCTTCGAGTCTTCACCTTTAATTCTTTCTTCTTCAGTAAACTGCAACTTCAAGGGCACGGCGGGGTGGAAAGATGGGTTAAAAACGTGGATCTGGTTGAATATGATATTATCTTTGTTCCAGTCCTCAAAGATAATGATCACTGGATCCTCCTTTCCCTGAGCTTGAGAGATAATGTTCTTGAGATTTTCGATTCTTCTCCTTGCGTTGTAGCCGATTCTAGTTTTTACCTTAGTGTTTTCGAGTTGATCGTACACTATTTGGAATGTGAAACATCACATAGGCGCTCGTGAAGGTGCTGGAAGTCGGTGGCAGCAAATGTTGTTATAGAGGGAGTTCCAAGACAAGTGGATGGAGTTAGTTGAGGGGTGTTTATGTTGATGTTTGCGACACTGTTGCAACGTGGCGATCGACCGCCTTTCAGGTTCTCTTGTAAAAATATTCCGTATATTAGACGACAACTGGCATCATGTGTCTTGGAATGCCGTTGTCTTTGATGGATTCGATTGATTTGCAAACTTCTGTTTCARRATATTTCATATTTTAACTGTCGCTTTCACAACGACATTACTTTCTTTTAGTGTTGCGGGTTTGAGTTGTCTTTGGTATGTTGACTGCAAGTTTGGTGTCGCGTATTGCCTTCGGAATCGCTGTCAGGTCAGACTCGTCTGTCGTGTCATTACATTCATCGCATTGCAGTCCTCGTTGCAAATTGTGTCCAGGTCATCCAAGGTTGTGCATTTAATTCACCTCGAAATGATATTTGTGTGTGTGGTGCGACATGACGAATTGGAGTGTGGATGCAAGACAAATCTCGGCGAGTGTGTGGGTGTGAGGTTCATTATGCAAAGAGTGAAAGACCAGTGACATCACGTCTCTTGTGTGCATAGACAATCATGTACTTGTGACCGCCTGAATTACATGTGACCGACAATTTTGCGTTCTTGACCGGGAAAAATAAATTGTATGTCAAAAATAACAGTTACTGTTTGTACTTCTAAAGAAGTCTGGATCTCTACAACATCCAGACAACCGCCTCGGACGAGACGATAGCCATGCATGTACAACTCACGCATAAAAGAAATAAATAGTATTATCCAACAAGGATTCAATCATGACAACTTGCTCATCACATTCACAAACTTGAAGTTTGACAAGTGTGGCTCCCGACACACTATCGCACAGGCATCCCGGATGGGCGTGCCTGTCGCTACTCTACGTCTTCTAATATAATTATCCAACGAGGATGCAATCATGACATATTGCTTGTCACAATTATCGAATTGAAGTTTAACAAGTACGGATCCCAACACACTTCCGCACAGGGTTCCCTGATGCGCGTGCCTGTCGTTATTCGTTTATGAAGTTTAACAAGTGCGGATCCCGACACACTTCGGCACAAGATTCGCGACACATTTCTGAAGTTCAACAAGTAAGGCTCCCAGCACACTTCCGCACAGCGTGCCCTGATGGGCGTGCCTGTCGTTATTCATTTATGAAGTTTAACAAGTACAGATCCCTGCACACTTCCACACAGGATTCCGAGCAGTGCCATGTTTTTGAAGTTCAGCAAGTAAGGATCTTGACACACTTCCACACAAGGTTCCCGTACGGCATGCCTAACATGTACGGGTTTGAACACGCTTCCTCATTTGGGATATCATTTATAAAGTTTCACAAGTACGGATCTAAGTGCACTTCTGCACCTGCTTAAGCCGTGGACGGGCGTGCCTACGTTGCTTGGAATGCAACAAAAAATGAATTCGTTAGAAAGAGGACACAGTATAATGTCCTATTTTAACGAATAACATGTTATATGTCAAAGAGCCTGCTCAAAAACGAGGGGGAAAGGCATAATCACATCCTGCGGGCTATGTCGGAGGTGAGTGGGGCTCCGCCTCACTACCAGCTAACTGCGCAAAATGAGAATGGACCTTCCACTAGAACACGGGAAGATACGTAATTTTACTTAATTATCTATTCCCCCGCTCTCTTGCTTCTCTATTATGCATGTACAAGGCAAGCCTGACGTCCGGATTCAGTCACTCCCAGTTCCTCCTACAGCCCACCTTCCACTACGTGTACTTCCTCTCTCTCTCTCTCTCTTTCTCTCTTCCCGACGCGTGTTCATTGCTCTAGCCCCCACTCGCCCGCTGGCTACTACCTCGCTACAAACCAAGAGTAACAGAATGGCTGCACCGGGTCAGTATGGCGACGGCGAGCCTGGCGGTAAGCGCAATGATGAGCACGAGGCTCACACAACTCCGAAGGCCGGCAATCCCGATCACGAAGATCATACTAGGTACCTCGACGGAAACCACCGTGAGCCGAATGGCTGTCCAAAGTTAACGAATACGGGCCCTGCCCGTTGTTCCCCAACTCTGCAAAAAAATCGAATGAATCGTCCGCTAGAACGCGACCAGATTCATTTCCACTTTCAACTCCCCATAGCAATGGCGCAGCCTATACATATTACTACACAAAATTGGCAACCCCTTTCCCAAATCCGACTCCACCAACCTGCTCGCAACGTCCTGAAACCCCCGTTTTAAATCCACCCTTGCTCCAATCCGCCTACTAACGAGCGAGAAAACCCATTTTCCCTCTTCTTCGTTCTGGCTTCCTCCATAGCTCCGCGCGGCGCGTATTTCTATAAACTCCCAGCCTGCTAATCTAACGCCAAAACCGACTTTGCCATCACTTTCGCCCTCCCTGGGAATGCTGGAATCGGGCCTTGTCTCACCCGATCTCGTCAAGAATCGGGTGAGAACCACGTTTTACACTTCTCCATATCCACCCCCTCCTTTGTCGACTGTATCTGGCGTGAATTCTCGTCTAGATTCATGCCCTTTTCCCTTGCCTCGCTCGTCGCTGCGTCCCCGCTGCTGTCCTTCCTCTATTCCTCCACCTCTATTCTACTTCTTTACCTCATCATCCCGCCATAGCTCTGTCTTCTTCATTCCCAACCTCCCAACGTACCTGGCTCATTTCATCGTCCCGGTTCGGTCCCCCTCTCACTGCCTCGTTCGACCCTGACACCTTCCAACCTGACAGCGCTCAGCCTCAGCCTGTCAAAGCCTCCTCCTGGCACCGCCTCCCCCCTGTTGGCGTCAACCCCCGCACTGTTCTCGCAGCAC